ATTAAATAATTAATAAATTAAATATCAATATTTATTTTTTTAATACTCTTAACTTGTGTCCTTAGAACGCAAGAGGATAAAGGTTAGAAAAAAACCTTTTTACTAATTTTAATTAATATTTTAAATATTTTTAGGATAGCAAAGATAGAAAAATCTATGAATATAACATCACACTACTAAACCAAATCTAAATATGATTGCAAATGTAATAATTTTATATAATATTAAAGTTTTGTTTAACCATATTTTTCATAGAACCTTTTTATACAATATTTTATCTAAAATGCAATTTGATTATTATGAATCAAATTTAATTAATTTTTATATACTTTTATTAATTTAAAAAATAATATAGTTGTATTGTTATGCGACATTGTAACAATATGATATATTATTGTATAATTAATTTTTTCACTTAAGATCCACCCTGGTATTATATGCAACCATTTATTTAATGTCATATTACACTTATTTAATGTCACATAATCTTATGTGGTATTATAATTATAACATTCTTGATTAGTTTTAATTAATATTTTATATATTTTTAGAATAATAAAAAACAAAATTTATAACTATAATACAATATAATAAATTATTAACAAATAATACTTAACACTTTAAGATATAATGGTCTAAAAAAACCTTTACGATGTAATAATAATCTATATACTCCTAATTTTAGTTGATTGATCATGGAAAAGTACATGATAAGCTACTTTTTTATATTAGTCAAGTACATATTCTATGCATAATTTTTGTGCCCAAAAACACAATTCATAAAATAAAATAAAATAAAATAAAATAAAATAAAAACCTATTGCACTAACTGTCAAAGTTGCCACTGTTAAATGGGAGTCATAAACAGTGTTAGGGTGCTGTTAGGGGAGGGAGGTAAACGTAATAGAAAGTTAAAGTAGAGGGAAGAGTATAGTATGGTTTGAAAAAGTAGAGGGAAGACTTTGAAAGATTTGTAAGTATAGAGAGGACAATAAATAAAAATTGAAAATGAAGGGACTATAATTGGCTTTAACCCCACTATCTTGTATACAAAATAATTGCACTGGAACCAAGCCTTCAGATACAATGGTTTGACCTCAAATTTTAAGTGCTTGAGTAAAGATAGTCGAAGTTTCGAGCTTTATCATCATTGTAAACTCTGCCAAAAAGCGGTCCAATGGTTTTGCACCTCATTTGAGGGAAAAAAATATTTACCCAATATGAGAATTGAATTCTCAGTTGCTAACAACTAATTCAAACTAACTTTATAATTATTATCCTTATAAAAAAATAATAATTGCACTAAATGCACTTTATCTGTAGTGTCATCACATGTGTCCCCCACATTGCATCTTTTCTTGAAAATCAAAAGCTGAAAAGTAGCAAAATGATTAAAGTTTGTCATCATAATAGCTGCTTTTGGTGGAAAGCAATAAAGCACATTATACATTTATTATACTCTCTCTCTCTCTCTCTAGACCACTTGCCCAATCGTGCAAGGGATTTCGCCATTATGCATCCCTCGTTGTTTGGGACCCTTTAACCATCATCTTTAGAAAAACAAAAATTTGGTGTAGGTGAACCCTTAAATAAAGCTCTTATTTTTAAAAACAAAATTTAGAGATTTTTTAAGTGGAAAATATATACATAATGTGGACCTTTTTATTAATTTTTTTATGGCGTGACGTGAACCCTTGAAATGTTTTTTTTAA